TTGTATTGTATCAGTATGTGTTCTTTTGAAGCTGAAACAACATAAGGGTTTAAATCTTCAAATATTCTTAAAACCTTCATGTATTAAAACTTCCTATTACTCACTCTAATGATTATGGCTTTATTCAGACATAGATGCAATTATGAGAAGAACCACCACAGGTCAAGCAACATTCTTCAATCTGATGTCTTCCGGGTATTTTAAATTGTATTTCCCCATATCCCTAATCACTGTCTATGCTGATATTTTTCAAGTAAGCAATGCTTCCTTCTTCCTCTATTTCAACTCAAGATCATGTGCAATCATGCGCTAATCAATATTATAGCAATAACAATTACTTTAAAAAAGCACCTTCTTCAGAGAAATCCTTGTAGTCGAGACTTGAATATACCCATCCAAACTGCATGGTGGCTACTTTCAAAAATGTTATTGGAAACATGGAAAAATTCTGTATAAATTAAACAATTATTCTATTCAATGTATTTCCTTCTACTAGCAAGGAAGGAAACTACATGAAATATTCAAGGTGTTTGATGTACAAATCTGCCACATTCTCCTTTGGTCCAAATACTTTCACCTAACCTTCTGTCTTAAATGTCAAGAAGCTTGAGTGAAAGAAGGAAAATTATTAAGTTGCTTGTTGCTTAAATGCCAAATATGAATTTACATGCCTGCAACCATATAATTGTCCATAGGTCCAGTGCAGAACAAGAGCTAAAAACTTCCTATACAGATTATATGTTTAATTTCACAATAGGAATGACAAAAGAGTATCTACAGAATAAGGAATACGAAAAATCATGGCCATCACATTACACTTTATAATAGTTCCAAGACACAAAAAGATCCATGCAAAATACTCACTATAGATTAGTATAAAGATTCTGAAGCAATACTTTTGCAATTGTTTCAGTGACCTAATATTAAGATACATAAATTACAAAAAATAAGAATTTTATAAGGATAAAAAATGAAACTTCATGAAAAATAAATGTCAACTGACAAATTGTTAAGTTATTTATTAAAAAGCTGACATTTTCATCAAGCCTGAAACATGAAAAGAGTAGCCCTCTCAGCAAAAAAAAAGCAGTGGGAGCATCTCTGAAAAATTATAAAATGCTAATGCATTGCCATGGTGCAAAAGATATACCTTTTTCAAAATGCCAAATGTACAATAAATGGAATTCAAGTACACCATGTCATTTTTTCAGGTGTTATAATTTGAAAACAGGAGAGGAACTGGTTTTCCTTCAATATATATACCTCATTAAGCTGGAGGCACATGGAAGACCAGAGACTTCATTAAAAAGGTAGAGAGACATTTAAAAGAAGTAATTTGAAGAAATAAATGATTGTGATGATAAGGGAATTTAAAATAACAAAGCTCCATAACTTGCAATTATATTTGCTCCATCAGTGCGGATAGGGTAAGTGTATTCCTTCCCTTAAATAATGCCATTTTGTAGGTCCTCGGAAGCATGCCTTTTCTGTTGCAGTCCCTGCCTTATAGAACATCTTCTCCCCTGTGATCTGACCGGCCCCATCCCTTCCATCCATCAGGAGAGTATCTAAAATTCAGATATGTACTTCAATGAACAGTGTGTTCATTATGGGGGAGGTATTTTGGGGGCAGTTTGCAATGGAGATGGTGCTGAAAAACAAGAGGAAATCACATTGCTCCTTTTTGGTGCCATGCACCAAAATTTAAAGGGCCACAAAAGAAGGTTATAAAGCTAGAAAGTAGGCCAGGTCACTATCAAATTCCTACATAACCATTAAAAAGGCTTGCCAATTACTCATGGTTTAGGAATCTGTCATCCATCTAATCTGGCCCTAGGACCTTAACAGGTCTATAAATTTTAATAGCTGTAGACAAAGCATTAGCAATATATGCAGAATTGCCCAACACACATATTTCTCAAAGGAACAGACATTCTCCCCCACCCCAACACTGAAACACTTCAAATACCGGTACTTTGTGGCAGAAGAGAAGAAAGGGGTAGGACAAATATAAATGGCTGGCACAGCCTAAGAAAATAAAAGAAATACAACGGTGGAATATATACTTCCCCAACCTTGTGACCTTTAGCAAAGTTAAGTGTCAAGTGTTCAGTTCCACCCTTTAGGCTGGAAAAAATTCTGCCTGGCAGCAAGAGCAGCCACCACTAGTCAGCATTAAGAATAAAGATTAGGTAAACCAAGGTCTAACTCAGTGGTTCTCAACCTATGGGTCGCGACCCCATTTGGGGTCGATCGACCATTTCACGGGGGTCGCCAAGCAAGGTTGTCCGCCATTTTTTCCCCTTTTCCGGCGGGTGCCTTACCTCCCTTGAGCTGGGCCAGCTGGTGGGCGGCCTGCTCCGTCTCTGCCGCTTGCCAGCTACGCCTCGGCCGGCGCAGGAGGCGGAACCACGCATGCGCGGCGCTCCCGGGCAGGGAAAGTCCTCGACTTACGACCGGTTGGGTAGTCCTCGACTTACGACCGGTTTAGTCCTCGACTTACGACCGGTTTAGTCCTCGACTTACAACCGGTTGGGGGTCGCGGCATTAAAAAGGTTGAGAACCACTGGTCTAACTTGTTATAAGGCAGTCTTTATGGTTTCGGGAGTATCAGATGGCCTACTTCAACCGGAGGTGAAGTTTGGTGAAGGATAAGAAAGAAACAAGACAATGATGGGGAAAAGTGAGATACACAAAATCAACGAAATGGAGATTGATAGACTCCCTAAGTTTATTAGAGCAGATAAAATCACAATTACAAACCTCTTGGATTACTAACCTGACAAATTTTGACAGTTTCTTGTGCAACAGGAGAACAAGTTAAAAAAAGAGCTGGTCAAAGAATCATGGACATAGAAGCACAAAATGATATAGCCACTGTTAATAAGGCTGGTAACTTGAAATAGCTGAGTAAATATAAACATACTTTTCAAATAGACAGCTATTTAAAGTTACAATTGTCAAAACATCTTAAGGAGATATTTGCATGAGCGAGATTCAAACAGCTTGATACAATGGTCAGATATGGGAGATTGGACGTATCTGCATTTGCGGAGTGGTAGAAGACTTGGCTCACATATTATTTGATTGTTGTTTGTATAAGAGGGTGAGAGACAGGTACATAGGTTCATATATTAAACAAATGACCCATTGGGAACCCCATATTAAAACCTTATGTGTGGCCGGAAAACAACATTTAACACAAGCGCAGTACTTGAGCAAAATGGTTTGGCTGAGATCGACATATGTGGGACTGATTGGGGTAGATTGTACGGGTGATACTGAAATATAATTTTCTTATTTTACTGATCTATATATTAAATTATTTTACTCCAATTTCATTTTAAATTATTGTTTTTATAGAATTTTATTAATAATTTGTGTTTTGAACTCTATATTTTGATATGGCCTATGGGCTAATCAATAAACTAACTAATCTGAAAAAAAAGTGAGATACCAAAGTTACACTGTACAGTAGTCCTTAGCTTACAACCATGCGTTTAGCAACCCACAGCTACAATGGTACTGAAAAAAGTGACTTACAGTCTCACATGACTGCCACAGCCTCTCACACAGTCATGTGATCAAAATTTGGGTGCTTGGCAACTAGCATGTATTTATGACAGCTCAAGCATCCCAAAGTCATGTGATCACTGTGAATTTTCCAGCTAGCATCCCACAAGCAAAGTCAATGGGGGAAGCCAATTTGCTTAACGACTGCATGATTCTCTTAGCAACTGCAATATTTTGCTTAACAACTGTGGCAAGAAAGGTCATAAAATCGAGTGCGCCTCACTTAACCATCTTGTTTAGCAATGTAAAATTCTGTAAATCGAAAACAATCAGTAATAATATTACGCTGGCAGCTAAATAAGTTGCATGACCCTTTGTGCTGTGCCTAAAACAGAGGGAATTTTTACAATTATATTACTTCAGCTTTCTTTAGCTTTACAGACCTGTGAAGGTCATAAATATGAGAACTGGTCACACAATTACTTCATCACCACAAGGATTACCCATACAGAAAATTGAAAATTCACTTTCATGAATCCAAGAGCAGTAGGAGCATAAAGATAATTAGATCGTGCTAATCTGTCTGGGTATGCAACAACTCTAACCTTGTGACAGCATACATTATACTCTTCAGTGCCTGGGAAACAAGGTAAGTTTTTAAAAATCCACCCTATCAAGTGCCTGGCAAAAAAAAGAAGATAAAGAATGTCATTTTACAGGAGAAATGTCAGTGCTCAAAATGGCAAGAAACAGCGTCCTTCCCACTAAAATTCCAAATTTCTCATTCCAGATGGACAAGAGCGAGATGAGGCTACTTCCTGGCTGAGGAAATGCCCTCCACACATCCTTAGATACGCACCCTGCATGCCACTTCATGCGTCTTGCTGCAAAACCTGAAGTGCACGCCGAGAAACTTGTACTTTCCTTTTAACTACGCTGCACAGTGGAGCATGAAGCAGGCCAGGGACACACACCGTTAAACACAAGTACGCGCTTATGGCAGCTAGGAAACATTTCCCATTTGACATTAGAGTACTACTCTATTGCAGAGACGGAGATCTGTTTAAGGCCGAAGGGTAAAACGCGCTACCCAGTCCGTTTCAACCCGAGTACCTGACTGCAGGCAACCCCAGAGGCAGCCTGAGAGATTCACATTGTTTTTCTGAGCCGAGCAAATGTCCTTCACCGGGGGTTTTACCGAGAGAGAGGAAGGCAGTGGGACTCGGGTCGAGGGACCGGAAACTAAGCGACAGCTTAGAGAAACGGCGCAGGGAGAGAAGAAAAAGGTGCCGGTGCAAATACGTGGGAAACGGGCATAGGCGCCCAAGACAAGCCAGAGGGTGATACAGCTGGGGGCAGAGAAGGGGACGGAGAGGAAACGGCTTGCTTGCAAGAGCAGCCAAGGGAAAAGGGGACGTGGGAAGGGACCGTCGCGCAGCAGAGCTAGAGGCAAGGCTCGCTCGCTCGCGCAGTCCAGGGCGCCTCACCTGCGATCTCGGGCAGCCCAGCGCAGCGAGTGCTTCGTCGTCAGCCTTCTTCCCCTTTTCCCCGCCCCGTCGGCGCCTGCGCTTTGGAGACTCCCCGGCCGAACCCACGCGGCGGCCGAGTAGGAAGCGTCAGAAGAAAGCCAACGGGATCCCGCGTGCTCCGGGCAGCTCCCTCTGCCGCTGCCGCCGCCGCTGCTGCTCCCCAAGTCCAGGCGGGGAAAGTGCGCCGCCCTCTAGCGCTGGAGGACCGGGAACCCCGGCTGAGCTCGAGGAAGAGGTCCTGTAATTTTTTGTGAACTGGGGGTGGGGGTGGAGCCCGTGCCGAAGTTCGCCTTCTTTGCCGCGTGTGAAATATTGCGAAAGGAAAAAAAAAAAAAAGCTTCTGGGCGTGTGCTGAAGGCCGGGTGGACAAGCAGGAATGAGAACTCTGGAGCTGCGGTTGCCAACTAACCGGACGAGCTATTCCGTCACAACGATTAGGAATTTGCAACGCGTAAGCGGCTCGCTTCCTTGTTAATTATGCCCCGCCGAAGGCCCCTGGGTCAGGGGTAGGCAACCTTGGCTCTTTTATGATTCATGGACTTCAACTCCCAGAATTCCTGAGCCAGCGTAGCTGGCTCAGGAATTCTGGGAGTTGAAGTCCATGAATCATAAAAGAGCCAAGGTTGCCTACCCCTGACCTGGGTTATTGTGGGCTTAACCATTCATCGCGTCATAATGTGCAAACACACACCGTTCAGGAACGAAGGCTGCAAAATGCTGCTTGGTGACGATGTTAACGTTGGATGTGTCCCTAAGTACATATTTGCGGAGGCTGCATATTGCTGGAGATAAGTTTCGACGAACTTTCAATACAAAAGAACATCTGTAGCCTCAGAGTTAAGCCTGGTGCTCTGAGCTGGGTTGCTTGCAGACAGTTCATTAACCCGACTAGATGGCGTCGCCAGTGCAACCGAATGTCAGGAAGCAACACACACACACCCCGCTCCCTCGTCCAGATGATGTTACCTAGTCAGGTAGTGAAAGGTCTGCAAGCAAACAACCAAGCTCGGAGAGCAGCGGGGACTCCACAGTTCAGTGACTTTTTAAGTGGAGCTTCACAATATGGCAAATCAGTAGCCTTGTGCAGAATGAACTCAATTGGTCACAAGTGAGATGGGAGACCTCAACTGCCGCCCATAGGCGGGCTGGGGGAGGGGATGTTTAATCCAAAGATTCATTTAATCCAGGGGTCAGCAACCTTAAACACTCAAAGAGCCACTTGGACCCGTTTCTCACAAAAAAAAAAACACCGGGAGCCACAAAACCCTTTTGACATCTAAAATGAAGATAATGCTGCGTATATCGTTTTTTTATGTTTATGCTATGTATAAAAAAACTATAGTGTGTTGCATTTATGAAATCAATGAACTGCTACAGAGAAAACAATTTTTTTATTTCTGCATGCAACAAAAACATTTTGAACTCCGACGCTGGGTTGAAGGTTATTTTCGAATAAAATAATGTCTATTTGAGTCTTCCTCGTATTTATGAAATAAAAAGCCAAACTTAATTAAATTCAATTAGTAGTGAAAGCAAATGAATCTGCCCACATAGCTTTAAACAGTTCTGTTTTCTTCTGAAACTTTTATTTTCTTTTATTTTCTATATCAATGGTTGGTCTACCAGGGGTCGAAAAGCACAATAAATCTCATGCCAGTGGGTGTCGCATATTGGCAGTTGTGACGCATATTTTGAGTGACAGAGAGCCACAGCAGAGGGATGAAAGAGCCACATGCAGCTCCAGAGCCGCGGGTTGCCGACCCCTGATTTAGTCAAATGGAGGAGGAACATGGACGTCTAATCGAATCTGAAAGACATTTCCAACTTTTTCCTACAAAAGTAATAAATAAGTACTGGATTTTGTAAGCTGCCAAGAATCCACTGGAGTGAGTGGCTATATTAAATTTAATAAAATAATAATGTATAACAGTATTAGCAAAGCTAATCTATATAAATAAAAATGTAAATGTTCGTTTGTTCAAAATCTTAAATCTCCGAAAGTTCTTCACCGATTGCTTTGAAATTTTGACACAACGTTGCATTCGAATATGCGCATGTTTTTATATACCTATATTTTATAGATGTCACACCTGTGACAGGTAAAAACATGCTTTTTTGAAAAACAGCGCCATCTGTTGGACGCTTTGAAATTGCCATTGAACATGCAATTCAATTCTTTTCCATTTAACCAGACTGAGCCACAGCAACACGTGGCCGGGTACAGCTATTAAAAATAGATTAAATATTGTTTTGATAGACATTGGCAGTAAGGGAAAGAATCAAAGAGCCAACAAAACAATTTTAAACAATTTATTTCTAGTAATTAGAGTAGCTGTGTTAAAATGTGTGGCTACTTAGTGAAGTGTGTTCTGTTTTGACTTAAAGCACAGTAGAGGAACTTAACCTTGTCTCCATAAAGAATAGCATAGCTCTTTCTTTTTCCAATATCACCTTCTGTTTCTTCCTGCCTTCATCCTAAACAAATAGAAGGGACGCGACTTAATGTTTAAAAATCCTGGAATGATTCAAGACAACATGCCAGTCAAATTGTTTGGAATAGCACAGAATTTTCAAAGTAGTTTTGCCCAAAATACCTACTTTTTTTTTTTCACAGTACAGAACAAAAGCCTGTATTGAATCTATTCGCAATGTAAACACAAAGAGAACACTAGAAATGGTATAGCATAACATTAGCAGAGGGTAGAATAGGATAATAATTCATTTTAAATTGCAACTTCAAAAATTATGTACAAAAACAAATGTGCATAATTTGTAAAAAAAAACCTGATTTATTAAAAGCCATTTTTTTACAATTTTGAACACTCTGTGTCATATTCCTTATAAATTTTGAACAGAAGTGTTCCTTCAACCATCAGCATATTTCTTCATGCTCAAACATTAATTTACTCCTGATTAAGCACTCATGATTTATCTTTTTCCTTCTCTAATTTAGATAAGGGTGAGCATGGAACAGAAAATGCTTCCTTTTCAATGCAGAAAACACATTTGTAGAAATTCTGCCAATCCATTCTGCGAGCTGCAGTTCAGTGGAAACAAAGCCCAAAATTTTTTTGCTGTTCTACAGTCTGGACAATACCAAACCTGCAGGAATCACAGGAGGATCTGCAGGGTGTAATCCACAAAGTCACCATGATGGCTGTTACATTGCATCACCTGGTTTTTGTGTGTGTTGTGATGCACATAATGACCAGGCAGAGCTTTAATCATACCACTGAAGTCACCTTTTTTCCTTTTGGAATCATACTGCAGACACCGTCCCAGGATCCCAGAAGGAATCTTATGATGCCCAAGCTTTAGAAGGAAAAAGCTGCTACCAAGACAATAGTTAAGTAAAAGAAATCTGAGCCTGCGACAGAACTGTAATTTTGGAAAATATGTCAGACAAGATCCTTCCTAGTTCTCACAAAGGGGAGGGGAAGGGAGAAGAGCTTGGAGACTTACATGATTTCAATTACTAGGTCTTAACTGTATAATAAAAGTGATGATTTGGTCTACCTTGAAGGGCTGAAAATTTTGCATAGCAAACAGGACAAACCTGTTGGGCATCAGCGTTCTGTCCCACTCTGCCCTGCTCAGCTGCTACCATCAATATGTATGTGCATATATAATAATGTCTAGTGTTTGGGCACTGAATTTCTCATTGCCCCATCTCTCCACAATCTTTCAATCCCTTTCCTTTCTCCCATTACCCATCGCTGCCAGTTTCCTTGTTTTTACTCTTCTGCCTGAAATAATCAGCAACAGGTGCTCAATACTTGAAATCCATAGTATTGACTCTGCAAGAGTTTTCTTATGCTTCACTAAAAACTGTTTACTCCAAAGCATTTGTGGGTATAATTTACAATAGACCATTAAAAAAATGTCATCACTTGACAACTTCTGCATTCTGTTTGGAATACCAGTGCTCTGGGCCTGGGAACAGTTTGAATATCTGTTCCTTTCCCGCCTCTTCCTAAAATACGTTGGCATGCGAAACTCTTAAGTAGCTATTGCAGAATATTTGTGTAATGGGAATCTAGAGATTATTGCTTGACAGTCCATAAACTGTAGGTGCCAGCCAGCATTTTGTAAGAATGATTCTTGTAAAGTCAGGGTATTTTTTCTCTCTGAAAATTGTAGACTTAACACGGTTGAACTCAACTATCAAGGAAACAGATGTGACTGTCTAAATTTGACAGGGAAATCAAGTTATTAAAACAACTTGTTCCTGTAAAACAGGCATGTCAAACTCGCGACGTCACATGACGTCGTGCAACATATCCGGCCGGTTTTGCCATTGCCGGCAATCGGGTGGGCGCGGCTTCCACGTGACGCATCTAGCCCATGGGCCGGCAGTTTGACACCCCTGCTGTAAAAGGAGTCCCAATCACTAGTTTAATCCTCAGTCTGAGAAACAGCCCCCCCCCAAAAGCATACCTGGTACTATACGTTGTGAAACTGTCAGAAACATTAAACAACTCCAAACAATGTTGTCATGCTGGCTGGAGAATTATGGGAGTCCACATGTTTTCAACTTGCCAAGGTTGAGAAACACCCATGTAGAAACAAAATGTATTTGAAACCTCAATGGAAACATAAGGAAGATGTAATCATTAGCCAAATAATTATGTCCCAGATCTGTGGTTGCTGCCACAAGAGATTCAGATGTTGGAAGTGGTGCCGCATTCTTGTAATCTTAAATTTTTAAATCAGGACTGGAGGACTGTTGGCTGCATAGATATTGTGGGACTATAGACATAATTCCTAAGCAATCCTCGGTGGAGTGGATGAGATCTGAAGTGTAACAGATTTTCTATAATAAAATACAATTTATTATTGGAAGACTTTTGGCAACCCATAAAATTAAGATACACAAAATACTTTAAGCATAGAGCAACTAAAATTCAGCTACAGTACAACACATTTGGTGTTAGACCGCAAAACCTGTCCAGAGAAGCTCACTTCAGCTTGTTCCAGAATGGAGACAATGCGGAGACAAGTAAACCTCTAATGGAAGACTTGTCTCTACCAGGAGAAATTTTACACCAACTA